GGGGCCTCTCGCTCTCTCGCTCTCTCTCTCTCTCTCTCTCTCTCTCTCTCTCTCTCTCTCTCTGCAAACTGTGAATACAATTTGTGGATCCTGTCTCCCAACAAATTATCCTATTTGACTTACCAGGAAACAGAGACTTGGAGATGTAGAAGCAGGGGAGCCTGGGATTCAACCTGGCTCCGGTGACTGATACCATACTACCTGGCATAGGAGGCCCCTATCTACAGGAACAGCTGTATCCTAAATACCCAATGCAGTATACTGTTGTGTAATATTTTGGTTCTTTTCCCTTAGTCACCATTTTCTCTACCGTACCACTTGTCTTGGATCTTATAGCTGTTGACCCTGAAGCTTTGCGCAGTACTGCATGGAAATTTGTGCCTACTGGCTCTTCACAGGCACTCCTGTATTCATTCATCCATTCATTTACCCATCTGTCAATTCAACCAACAGGTTCTGAGTCCCCATAATTTGCCAGAAAGCATGCAAGACACTAGTGATCTTTGTGAACGAAAGATGGGGACATTTGCTCTGATTCTATGTAAGATCTGTATTTTAAATGTTGCTTAAGTGCTCTTTTAAAAGAGAACTTCATACAGGATCCTGGACCATTCCTTGAACTACTTAGTGCCTGGTGGGCAATGTAGGAAAAGACAAGGGCTCTATGAAGAGGGGGAGGTAAAAAGGCCCTAGGGCCCCATAAGCTTAGATGAGAATACTTTGCCTAATGGGCTCTGAATTTCAAGCCCTGTAATCAAGAATACAGTTTGGATGAGCTAATGGGAAATGCATCTCCCTATTTCCCCCTAAAACTTTCCCAGCGTGTGCTACTAGCAGACACATTCTGCACATCACGTACAGCTCTTTGTGAGCATCTTTTCGTGCTCCACAAAAGTGCTGAATTTGCCAGGATTTCTATTTGAAGCTTATATGATCCGACAAGCTTCATTTCAGGAGTTCGCACAAAGTAAACAGAGGCATTAAACAGAGTTCCACAGAGAGGGGGCTGGGAAGAGTGCTTTGGAAGTACACCTGGCTTAGAATTCCATATGCTGTCCATTGCTCAGAGGGTGCCAAGCTGACCTACTAATGATAGTGGACACTCACTGGGCCTGGCACACTCCTTTCATTGCCTAAGTGACAAGCAGTCTCCATGGTGTTGACCTTGCATGGTGTCTGCATGGAGCTCTCTCACCAGAATGGCAGCTCAATTGCTCTGTGGGATAGAACTCAACATAAGCCATGGAGTCCTTTAGGACCTTTGACTTATGCTGAAATCTATCCTCAGTTGACTCTGGAGTGGTATTGACTTGATTGCTGCCAGGTCAGTTGATGGTTGGAGGAAAATGAGTGAACAGGAAGCTCATATCTGCATGAGAAAGTGAACTTAGCTGGATTTAGTGGGGGTGCTCAGAGAGGATTAGGTAAGGCCCAGAGCCCACCCTTGCTTAAGGATGTTCTGATCAATAGCAGGGAAAGGACGGACCCCACCCATCAAATGAGGAACTGATGTCGCACCAGTGACTAGTGGTGTGCCTGGGGAGCAGGGGTGCTCCTCAACCCTTTCTAACTTCCTACAGCACAAAATCTCTCTGGCCCTGGCCACAGGATGGGGGCTGGACTAGTGTGCAGGCACCTGGGCCATCTCCTATGCAGTCCTTTTCTGAGCTTTTCGAAAGGCAAGAACTCTTTCCCTTTTAGGAATGATTTTTCTGTATTTGTAGCTATACCGAGGGAAGCCAGGAAGCTGTGAGCTGATGGTTTTACAAGATGTTGTTTTTGCGAGGAGGGTAGACTGTTTGTGAGTTCAAATTCAAGACCATGATGAATGGCTATGTTGTCACAGAGGAAAGGCTGTTCATGATCACTTCTCCAACTCTGCTCATGTGTATGAACACTGTGGGGAGCCTACACCCCAAACTCCTTCCTGTTAAAACCATTAAGGCAGCTTCCACAGAGGAAAATGTCTTCACTTCCAGAATGCATTAAGAACTTGATCTATGGGAGCTCAGGGTCCCACTGCCGGCTCAGGGCGCCCTGTGCTAGGCTGGGCACGTGACAGGGGTGGGGATAACCATGCTGAGAAGGCTCTGTTCTGAGGTCCCCGGCTTTCTTTACACAGCCAGCGACGGGGATTACTGGCGCCTACTGAACCCTGGAGAATATGTGGTCACCGCAAAGGCTGAAGGCTTCACCTCCTCTACCAAGAACTGCATGGTCGGCTACGACATGGGAGCAACACGGTGCGACTTCACCCTCGGCAAGACCAACCTGGCCAGGATCAGAGAGATCATGGAGAAGTTTGGGAAGCAGCCTGTCAGCATACCCCCCAGGCGGCTGAAGCTGAGGGGACGGAAGAGGCGCCAGCGTGGGTGACTTCCTTGGACATTTGAGATGCACCCCAGACTGCAAATGAATCCAGTAGTAGCTCTGTAGCAGACTGGCTCACTGTTGTATTGTCTGTAATTCAAGAGACACCCAGTAACGTGTGTGCTTGGCTTGGCTGGTCCCAAAGGGGAGGGCTGGCGGCTTAGGGTGTTTCCTTTTTTGTTCTCATTTATCCAAATACCTTGGACAGAGCAGCAAAGGAAGGCTGGTGGGAGTGAGAGAATTCAGCAAATCAACCTGGGAATCCAAGAGATGGGCTTGCCCACTCAGAGTCCTCTATCTGAGGAAAGAGAAAACAGGGCCTCTCCTGTTTGCGTGACATGCAGGGTTCCCTGCACGTCTGTAAATGGCACAACTGACATTTCTGTACCCTGGGAACCCCTGTCACCATTTGAGATACCCTCAGGCAGTCTAAAAACATCCGTTTCTCTGGCCCCGGGGACAATACAAGCTGCTACAAATACACTCTGCTTTCTGTTGACAATAGAACCATTACTGAATCAGCATCAGTGAGCCAGGAATCAGCTCAATTTCCCTTCCCAAGGAAGGCTGCCTTCTTAGGAGGGGAGAGAAGCAGGAGAGCATTCAAGACTAATTGCTGGGCAGCAGGCCTCAAGGGGCTTGTTGTATGCAAGCTGGGACCCCAGAGAGCCCCCAAACTCCCTGCTGGCCCATTAGGGGTGGGGATAGCCAGAGGGACCAGCTTCCTAATGAGGCCAGAGCAGTCAGCTGGGGTCTCCTTCTGGCCAGTAAGGCCTTGAAAGAAGAGTCTGACCTACAGATCTCTGTGCATGACAGGCCCAAGATGGCTCCCATCAGAAGGGAGTTATGATAGACATGTGGAAGGCCGCGTCCTCCAAATCAGGCCTCGTCTGATGAAACAAATTTTACCATTACCTGGGGCACATCTGTTTGGGAGGAGTTATTGACCGACTATGAGAAAGAACAGTGTGGCTCATCTTTATCCATCCTGCTGCCTCGTTGACCTGGGGAGAATGAAAATAAATAAATAAAGCAATGGGAAGATCTTCCGTTTGGTTTTTCCAGGTTGGCTTGCAGCCGCCCAAAGCCGCTCTGTTACTGGAGTTGTTAGGGTCAGAAGCTGGGTCCTGGCAACCCCAACAATCTAGGCTCTGACACCTGTCCTCAACACTGCAGGTAAAAATATAATAGTAAAAGGCAAAGAAGGAGAAATTATTCATGTTCTCAGTGGGAAGAGGACAGATAAAGGGGTTCAGGGACCCTCCCTCCTCCAAGCCATCTTGTGTGTCCTGACGTGAGGTTTATATTTAAGTAAAGGACAAGAGAGATGTATAACTAACCAGTCCTGGTCAAGATATGGTCCTTCTCATCAGCTGCAGTCTTTCCTGTGAAGTGGTCAAAACTGTATGGAATCTCTTCTTGGGAGACGTATTCTCCCTCTGATGCTACTGGGTTTCAGTCTTCTCCTTTTCTCAGCATGAGATTCCTGGGGAAATTCCAATTCCTTGGGGTCCACGGGGTCAACAGTCTGATAGCTAAGGGTACAAGTTTCTCTTTAAAAGAGCATCATTATTCCTGACAGAACTCTTACTACACCACTGCCTTTCTTTGAGTTCAGTCCCCAGAGAAGGCACCTGCTCAGGCTGGGCACCTTGATCCTCCATAAACATAGGGACTAGTTGCTGACAGCTCTGTGTCCTTTGCTTCCTCCTGCGAGAGACATATGCTTGGACCTACTGGAGATGCCAGTAAGCCTCTTTGCATAAAGATCCTCAGGCAGCTTTTCTGGTGGTCCACACCAGGGACAGCAGGCTCTTCTGATAAAGATCAGGCTATCATATCTCAAGCTTAACACAGTGTTACAGTCTCTATTGGGATAGCTCAGGCAGCATTTACATAAATGGGTGGGCACAGCTTAGTTCAGAAAACAATTTACCAAGATGGGCAGGTAGCTGGATATGGCCCACAGTTGAGGCATAGTTGATTCCTGTTGCTGTAAACCCATGTTGTCCAATAGAACTTTCTAGAATGATGGGAATTTCTTTCTGGAATGATGGGAATTTCTAGATTTCTAGTATTACATACTCGTAATCCATTTAAATTTGACTTTCAATAGCCACTGGTGGCTGGAGGCTGTCAACCTGTCATAGAAAGGCTCACAACATCAGCTATGGTAGGTGGTGCTACAAAGCATTTAAAGTTCTGCATTGTCCTGCATGTTAATTTACTTCTCAGCCTTCCTGGCAGAATCTGTCACCAGCTTGAGCCTCTGCCAGGTACCACAGCTTCCAGGGAGGAGCTCTGGGTCTTTAGGCTTTGATGTGTGGTCATGGGGCAGGTAGCCTTTCCAGTCTTTTGTTGGCTCCAGCCCAGGGGCACTCTTGGCCTTGGTCAGGTGGCGGTGGTGTGTGCAGCCTGATGGAGGGCTGTTGTCCTGTATCCCACAGTTCTGTTCTGGGTTGGGGGGGGGGCTCTCTCCCCAGGCTCACCCTGCAGAGTTGGCCCTTGCCAGCCCTCAAGTCCAGGCCAGTGCTCTTGACTCAGCTCCTAATTACCTCATTATCTGTTTCTAAGACAGAATTGCCATCCTGGATCTTGCACAGGACACACTGTCTGTCCCCATAGCTGCAAACCTTCCTGAGCTCTCTCCAGGCATGTCACATGCTACCTTCTCCAGGAAGGGCCTCCACTCCCCTCTGAGGGAAGATATATTGAAATGTGGTCCATCTCTAGAAGTCAGCAATCTGTTGATCTCACTTGCCTCAGTCCTTCAGAATAGGGCTAAACAGCACAGGAGGAGCTCTAACTTTGGAGCCAAGAGATCCAGGTCCCGAGGGCAGACACAGTGTCCTCCTTAGTTCCTGCTGTCACTGGCCCCACACCCTTGCCCATGAACGTGCTCAGTGACTGGCTACACGTGGAATTGGACTAACCCTTGCCGTGAGTGCCTTGCTTTTCATAACCCTCAGTTCCTTAACAAGTTAAGAAATGTGACTTCAGAAAATAGAGGCCCTGTCATTTGGTTTTAATTAATGCCTTTTTACCTCTTCAAGAGTCTTCACTTTTGGTGAGGGGTGGAGGGGGTAATGGGGGGACAAGATGGCTTAGAGGATAAAGGAGCCTGTCACCAAGCCTGACGACCTGAGTTTGATACAGGGAACCCACATGGTAAAGGAGAGAACAACTTCTGCATCTTGTCCTCTGACCTCTATAAGTTTACTGTGACATATATCCCCCCCACATATACACAAAGAAATAAATGTGATAAAAAATAGTTTTCAAAAGGAACTTTTACTTCTGTAAGGGAAGTTTAATGCCTGATAGCCAGATGAGTCCAGATGTCACTCTATAGGGTACAATCAACCCCACTCCTCTTGCTGGCAGAAAACCTGCCCTTTGTCCATTGCCTTTGCTCTGCGGTTGGATCCTGGGTGGCACTGCCCTCTGCTTGCTGCCTCTGTTTCCCTCCGAAGGCCACTGAAGGAGCTGCATGCTGCGGAAGATCAGTCTGGAGGTGCTCAGTGACCACAGCTCATTTTCCACAGGTTTCCAGCCCAGCCACTTGTTCCCCACCTAAATTCACAAAGCCTGCCCCTAGTGACCTACCTCCTCTAAGCAAGGCTTCACGTCCTAAAAGTTTCATAACCTTCCTAAACAGTGTCATCAACTGAAGTCCAAGCACATGAGCCTATGGGGGACATTTCTCATTTAAACCAACGTACACACACACACACACACACACACACACATTTTTGTTTGGGGGATTGAACCCAGGACATGGAACCCAGAGCCTTATGTATGCTAGGCAAGTGCTCTATTACCGAGCTACATCCCAGCTCTTTTTAATGTTATTTTGAGACAGGATCTCATGAAGTGCCCAGTCTAGTCTCAAACTCTTGATCCTCTTGAGTCTGACTCCTGAGTAGCTGGGATTACAAGTGTGTCTCACCATACCGTGCTTCAATTCTATTTCATCCAAAGCAAACAGCTCCTCTTTTACAGAATAAACTGCATGATGGTTCTTGATGAACTGCTGTGACACATCAGCCATTTATCCAAGAGAGCTTGTTTATTTACTTAGCAGGTGGCTAAAGTCTATAAGTAGCAAAAATGTACGTGTTCATTGATACGGCTCAGCACATATAAAAATAGGAAGCAAATGCCTTCAAATTCAAAACACTGTGTAATAATCAATGTTTCATTCCTTACTAAGAAGAGATCTAGGTAATGGTTAGTATTGTCAACTTATAGAATCTAGAATAACCTGGCAGGTAGGCCTCTGACCACGTTTGTGGAGGATTGTCTAGACTATGTGAACTGATATCGGAAGAGCCATGTTAACTGGGGCAGGACCATTCCCTGGGAGGGTTCATATACTGTATAAAATGGAGAAGGGAGCCAAGCAGTGGTGGCATTCATCTATCCCGCTCTGTTTCTCAACTGAGGATGTAATGTAACCAGTTGCTTCAACTTCCTGTCACCTTGACCTCCCCACTATGATGGCCACACCCTGGAGCTATGAGCTGGAATAAATCCTTTCTTAAGTTTGTCAGAGTATTTCATCACAGCGACAAGAAAGTCACTAAGACAGCATCCAACCACCAAACTACCATCCATTAATTAATAAAATTTAATATCAATTGAAAGATTTAAATTAAAAATCCTGAAAATCATTTTAAGTCAACATAGTACAAAACATAACTGCTATTACAATATTATAGTTTCTTGAAATAATGATTCAATTTAGTTAAACACAGATTCATATTTTTGTAACCCTCCACACTAACAACGAATAATGTCAGCTCATGAGATGAGTAAGCCCTAGTGAGTTTAGGGAAAAACATGTGTAGCAAAATAAAATGTAACTCATGTTATTTATAGCATTAATTCGAGAAGACATAACTGTTCTCATTAAATCCAAATTATTAAACTAGTCTTATTTGCTGAAGATTTACCTTAATTACATGCATTCCTAAAATAATTGTAAATTAGTTTTTATTGATATATTTAAAATGCTCAAAAGTTAATATCCTTTTGTCTGATAATTTTATGAAAATTTAATCTTAATAAGTGTGTATCTAGATACCAATTAGAATGTAGCTTCTTAAATTTAAGAAAGTTTTCTTTATTTTTATTTTATATGTACGAGTATATTGCCTGCATGTATGTAAGTGCAGCTGTGTCATGCATTGCCTTCAAAGGTCAGAAGAAGGCATCAGATCCCCTGGAAATGGACTTGTGAATGATTGCCAGCCGCCATGTGGGTGTTGGGAATCGAACCTGGGTCCTCTGCAAGAGCAGTCTATGCGCTTAATCACTGAGCCATCTCTCCAACCCTTAAATTTAAGAAAGTTTCAAAAGTAATTTATTAATAATTTCTGAATATGGAGGGACATTCAATACAGAGAGTGTTCTTGGGGAGTGGCTCAGTGGTAGAGCATTTGCCTGGCATGCCAGAGGGCCCTGGGTTCAATCCTCAGCAGTGAAAAATTAACAAATAATTAACCAAAGGCGAAGGTGCTTCTGGGTTGCAGATACCCTGATGTAGACGTGTTTTCATAAGCAGTTTGTAATTTCACTTCCGCAATTGTAGTTGCTATTCACAGATCCAAATACCAGGATTGCTATTCTTCCTAGGAGGCCTGAGATTCTTTGACTTGTTCAAAATTGACGGAGGGACAAACAGAAGACTGATTAGCGCTGTGTTCTCACTGCCATGGCTGGCTTGGCCTCTCTAGTTCCCGGCCTCTGGGACTTGCTGGTGGTCCATGTTCAGAGAACCCAGTTTCCCTGGAGTACTGAAGCTGAAGAGGATGAGTGTGAACAGTGACTGCTTCACTGCCCTGCTCCTGGGTCAGGATTCACACTCCATGCTGTCCCCAGACCTCTAGTGAGACCAAGTCAAGGTCACCTTTGGCAGGACTTATGTGGCATCAGTCCTTATTTGGCATCTGCCTTCTCTGAGCCAAGCCTTCACTCCTTCAGGTTTTCTTGAACTCATTTCCCAATGAATCTGTTTTATACAAATCCTTAGGCCA